ATCTAGGGCTTGTCTGTTTAGGTAGGGTTTCAAGTGCTTAATAATGCCAATGGTCTGAGCAAGTTTCTTATACATATGTTTGAAATGTTCGTTCCATTTGAGTAGGCAGTCACTAGTGACCCCAAGATATTTAAAACTAGTCACCTGTTCGAGCTTAGCCCCGTCTAATATAACATTAAGCTTGGTATTCGCCACATTCATACCTGCTGACCCTATAAGCATTGTCTTACATTTTTCCTACATACTTCATGTTTTCAGATCGTGCAATCTGTGGCTGTTTGCTTTTATCTTTTACTTTTAATTTCATTTAGTCGGTGTAAAACTGCTCTATGAGTCCTACGCTGTGCACAAGCAAGTTATTACTTCGTGAAGGAGGTCAGGACCTCCGGACGGAGTGTTGTGAACGGCCGTTTTTTCGTGTTCGCAGTCAAAACACTGGGTTCTCTTTGTGTAATCGGCACGCAATTTTATACGCCGTCTGCGGGCATGGCCGTGTTGATGCACGAATGTGTATTTTTGCCGTTGCTGCTTTCGCGGTCAATGTAATATTGCTGATGCACCCCTACAATTCTGAGTCAAATTGGAATGGTCCAGAAAAACGCGTTGTTTGGAATAGCATGGGGGGGGGGTGGAACTTAAAGTTCCAAGCAGATGTGGTGAGTGGCTGATAAATGGTTCCAGATGTTTTGCCCCGTGCTTAAGAGATGGTAAGTTTTTTGGAAGATGTTCGCATTCTTCCGTACGTAGCATTTCTGTGTAATTGGGCATGTGGTGTGACGGTATGTCCGTGATGATGCACGTCTTTTTATTTTCACCGTAGCAGTTTTGATATTGAAGTAAATGCATATTTTAGAAACATCCCTACTTTTACAATCCTTTGGAATAGGCCGTAGGTTTAGGTGGTTGTCTGGTAGCAGAGGTTCTCTAAGCAGATATTTGGTGGCTGTTGCGCATAATGGTGGCGAGTATCTTTTGGAATTGTGGTTTGCACCTACTGCGATACCTTGTCAAATGAATAATATGTAGTAAATGAAAGATATTGTTATGAAAGCAGACTTATTATTATCTATTTAGATTGTCGTGCTGTTGATTTTATGTAGCCTGTGTTTAGAGTAGTGTAAAGATAGACAACCAGTCACGGTGAACGCTCAAACTCAACTGGTTTATTCAATCTCCAACCGGCCGGTTCTAGAGCCCCTTCCCTCGAACGGTACCGGTATAGATCACCTGTTCGAACACGACGCTGGCACGTGCGCTGGCACGTGTTCGAACAGGTGACCGCGGCTCCGCCCAAGGGAGGGGATAGAACCGGCGATAATACAATGCTTAATAAAACTAACAATACACATTGTTACATTCCTCCCCCCTTACTTAAGCAGGTGCCCTCACCTGCAAGCTACTCATGCTAAATACGTTACATAATCCAATCTGTTTACAAATCCATTGTTCTATTTCGCAATAGATTCTTCTGAAATATGTTGGCTCATCAATTCTCATAGACACATTTACAACTATTGTTAACATATGTATCCCATGTTAGGGAGTTCTGTAGGGAGTACTTTCGGATGTCCCGTTGTAGCTGTCAGCGGCAAAGTTCACATTTCCTCGCGTACTCCCTAGCGCGGGGCAGTACGGGGACTTCCGGACCGTCACACCGGTGATCCGGGAATGCAAAAATGATCTTCCTTGTAGAGTCGTCCCGTAGACTTTTTACTAGGCATGCATCATATTTCGCAAGTAACACAAAAATACAAAAGCTCAATGCGGCTTGGTCGCTTCCCGTAGGCGTGCGAGCAAGAGCAAACATAGAAAACACCACATATTGTGCAACAACAAGTCAACACCACAAGAGTTCATAGGTCTTAGAAAGTTCTGTGGGTAGAGATACAGTACTCAGAGTTCGCAGCAAAGATCTAGCAGGTCACGTCATGTTAGAAAGTCAGTTCCTACTCATGATGGGGTCGGTCGTCTGCGACACAAGGGCGTCCCTTGAGTCAGCGGGCT